CCGCGTCGTGTGATCATCCTCCTGTTGCTTTTCGGTTGCAGAGAACGGGGAGCCGGCCAAGATCAAGTGCAACCTGAGGAAACACAAGCCGAACCGGAAGCCGAGGACGCCTTTCACCACGCAACAATTGCTCGCGCTCGAGAAGAAGTTCACGGAAAGGCAATACCTCAGCGTTGCGGAGAGGGCCGAATTCTCGTCCTCCCTTCACCTCACCGAGACCCAGGTGAGATTTCTGCTCTACTTCCTTCTTCTTCTTTTTTCTCCTTTTTTGCTCGGTGTGTATAGATCAACTTTGAATGCGTTTGTTATTTTTAAAGGTTTTATTGGACAATGGTTTATTATAAGAGATTGTTGAGGAGGATCTTTTGTGAATTTATTTCAGAGATGGTCAGAAGGATGTGAAACAAAAATGATTATTCCGTCATTGCGGAAACGAATAGTTAGTTGTGTACGGACTTTCGTTCATTTTCGAATAACGAGGGTTGTTCAATTCGTGTGAAAGGTTTCTTTGTATGTAATGCAATTTAAGAAAATAAGAATAAGGTTTCGAAGTTTTTGTGTGTAAAAAAATTTTTCCATATTTCTATTTGTCCCACCGTGTATATTTTATATAAAAGGTTGAGTAAAGAAAAAGATTGAACGTGTCGATTTGATGTATGCCGTCGATAAAAAAAGCATCAAGCCTTGTTTAGTCTTGTCGTTATCTAACTAATTCCGATACTGTGTTATTTTTCTATATACCACGACTATAATTAAGTATGAGTTACTTTACAAGTTGCACACAAGCGACAGATAAATAATGGAACTGGTAAAAATATAATATAATAATATATGAGATTGCAAATTTTTTTTTCTTCTACGTCAGCCATTTAATTTAAAAATTTCGTTCTGTTTGAATTTAATTTTCACTACTGTTTAATAGTCATTTTGTGAAATTAGATTGGAATCATCTTCCATTTTCAATTTTAATTAATTTCGATCGAAAAGATCTGATATTGAATAATAAAAAAAAATAATAAGATGAAGATCGGAACAAGAAAGTTCTTTGTTGTTTTATCTTTACTAATGTGTGTCTACAGATTCGAGGATAACGACTTGCACGTCAATATTTATTTTATTAACAAATGTTTATCTAAAAAAAATTCGTATTTCTATCCTCTTTATTCTTTTCGTTCAAACTTTTTTTAATCCCATAATTAAAACTAAAATTAAACGATCGACAAGATAGCTAAATACAACGATATTCAAATAAAACGACTTTTAAATCTTTTTTTCCTCCTCAAACAATTAAATAATCAAATATACACGTTGTATTTCTTGAAATACAACCTTAATTCTCTAATTCGAAAAAGAAAAAATGTTTAATTCCTACCTAAAAAAAAAGATTTATTTAAAATATTCTCAATATTTTTGCAAATATTTTTATTCTTATCAATTACTCCTCGCTTTTTCCCAAAATTGAGATTTATATAATTTAAATTGGCCATTCGAGCACCATACGAAGGTACACACTCGAGAGATCTTTCCAAGACATTCAATTTTCCAAAGTGCTCGGTCAAAGTTAAATTCAGAAATATTTTATTTATACCTGGAATACACTGGAACCTCTCTCTACCCATTATTTCCAGGACAAACAAGTTGCTATTACAAACACCATAAACCCAGTCATCCTTGCTCAAAACTTGAGCCTTCTTACGCCTTCTTTACACTCACTTTCAACACGATTCAACATTCATCCCCAACCGATATTCTCTTATTGTGGTGGACATCCTATCCACCTTTAGACAACGCGTTAACACAGATATTGAATCGAAAAGGAATCATGCAACACAAGATCCTAAACCGATCTTCGAAATCCATTTACCAGAACACGGATGGTAATTAGCGCGTGATATTTCTGGCGGACAACACTGGGTATTTTATTAATAGATTACAAATTGCGCGATGACCGACCAATTATCCCAAATTATCATGGTCTTGTTCCTCCCTGTCTTCTCGAAAATGCGAATCCGGCGCGTCTGTCAACATGGCGATACATCCGCCTCAGCCGTTGTCACCGAAGCCTCTACAGTCTTCTCGACAAATTCATTCTATCTTTATCTCTAGGGTCGACTTTAGAACGGTTTCTGTTTCTCTTGGAAGAGATTCGATTCGATTCCTCGTGTAATTATCCTCCTTCTCGTCACTGTTCCCTTTGGGGGACGAGTTGGGATTAATTGGGATGGAAGATTAAATTGGATATCGATGGATTTCCGAGGGGAAGATTGTTAAGAAACAGAAGGTTTTTTAGTACTTTGTATTCATACAATTTTTCAAAATTGTTGCAATGTGGAAATAAGGTAGATCGATTAGATAGAATACCATATCAACATTATTGCTTTTGCATTATTAATTTATAAAAATTAAATATAAAAATTAAATACGTTTCTTTTAATTTTTAATTACTTTTATCTTAATTACGCATAGATAAATATATTTTACTTTTATTACATGATATGACATTTTCTTAATACATAATACATATTTATTATAATTTAAAATAACCATAATAATATTATCTCCCTTTATTTTTCTTCTTTTCCCAAATAAATATAATATTTTTGACACACAATCAAGAATCAATATCTAATATTTTCTAAAGAAAATTTGTATTACAAGTATAATTTTTTATTATCATTCTCTGTCTTATCCTATTCACATTCCACAATCGAGTAGCGAAATTTATAACATTTTTGAACGGAAAAAGTTAGATAAAAAGAAGAAAAACTCGATCCGTTCTCCTCGATCAATCACAGTGGCCGTGATCGATTCCTTTTCCCATCTCTATCCCGTGAATCGAGCCGAGACCGCAACGAGAGCCGGCCGGCAAGAATCGTCGATCCGTTGAGATCGGGAGGCGACAAGTAATAACAAACTCGGGGCCCTTGTCATTGTTACAGGTGAAGATCTGGTTTCAAAATCGTCGCGCCAAGGCGAAGCGCATGCAGGAAGCGGAAATCGAGAAGTTGCGGATGTCGGCGGTCAGGCAGCACCACACCACGCTTTACGGCTCTCATCCGGGCCTTTTGACGCCTGCAAGCCTCTACCCGGTCGGAATGCTGTCTCATCCAGGCCTGACGCCGCATCACCCGATCTCCCAGCATCCATCCAGGGAATGAGAGGGGCGCGGGGGGTCCAAGTTGGTGACGACGAGTCAGAATCGATAGTGAATCGATCCTGGATCCTCCCTCGCGAACATTGGCCGATTCCCCTGCGACATTGTCTCTTGCGTTGCAATCGGTTTGGGATATGGCCAGGAGAGACGTTTGGAGAGGTAAGGGAAGAGGAGGAGGAAAGAAGATCACGTGGAATGCGGTTATGGGATATCGAGATGGATAAGTGGATCATTCTGAAATTATTTTTGGATATATCTTGGATTCCCCTGCGACATTGTCTCTTGCGTTGCAATCGGTTTGGGATATGGCCAGGAGAGACGTTTGGAGAGGTAAGGGAAGAGGAGGAGGAAAGAAGATCACGTGGAATGCGTTTATGGGATATCGAGATGGATAAGTGGATCATTCTGAAATTATTTTTGGATATATCTTGG